CACTGGTAAGAGTGCAGGCTGGGGGCTGGGAATCCATACAGGGAGGAGGCCAGTCCACATCCGGGCAAGGGAACTGGGCCCAGAGTTGCTGGCCATGCTGACCCCTGCCGCGCAGCCCTCCACCCAGGTCATTCATCTGTTGGCTCCCACAGAGGGTCTCAGATGGGGTCCACGTGCCACTGTCTGCCTACGCCATTCCCTTCTCTCCAGCCCAGGAGACCAGCTCACCCAGGGCCCTTTCTTCCTGAAATCTTCCATCTTGATTCCTTTCCAGGAAGTAAGGCCTGCAGCTCCTGGTATTTAAACTTAACTTTATGTTCATCTGTGCATCCTTTCCCCACTCTGTCCTTCTCCCCAGAACCTCAGAACACACCCCTGAAACCCAACCTCATTCATGAGGTACTGCTCTGAAAATGCACAGTGCCCGGCTCCAGGACTCTGGTGTTTCCAGGCCCCCTTGCTACTGGGCACACTCTAGATCTGAGCCAGGAGCTGCACCCACCACCAGCTCTAATGGGCGCCAGGCAGAGCCTGTCCTAATAAGGCAGCCAAGAGTGGGGAAGGGCACAGCCCTCACCTAGTGTGGAACATCCGCAGGGCTAGCTCTGAGGGGCCACAGTGAGGCCTCTTGTAGCATTGCTCCCAAATCTGACTCACCCTCCAAGTTCACAAGCCTCCTGTAGCTAGGACATCAGCCCGCTCTGCTCTAGCCCCTGAATTACTGCCGATACCGGCCATGACCGTGTCATTCATCACGCTCACTGAGCCCCCAGGCCGAGTCAGCAGCAGCCTGCCTCCCTTGCTGCTCACAGTGAAGGCCGTGCTGTAAGGAACTGGCCTTTAGAGCCAGGCTCCAGATCCAGAAAGAAGCCCCCCCCACACACACCAGTTCTATCCCCCACTTTGAAGAGGCTTGTGAAGACCAGCCTGCCTATCCCAGCCAGCCTGTTCCCAGGGCTTCAGGTCTGGCCCAGCCACTCTTGTCCTGTGCCTAGCTGCTATCAAACCTGGTGGATTGTGTTTGTTTTGAGACAGGCTCTCCTATAGATTGTGTCTGTGTAACCAGGGCTGACCTTGAACCCCTGATCCTCTCTCATCTACCTCCCAAGTAATGCTATGCATCACCATTCCAAACTTTGGATTTTTTTAAGGTAAGATTCAGGTAACAGGGCCCTAAGCCTTTGAAGTGTCACCACTCCACATTTATTACACGTGTGCAGCCATCACCAAAGATTCAGAACATTTCCCTCACCCCCGAAGACGAAACACAAGCATGCCTCAGGAGGCAGAGGCAGGCAGATCTCCGTGAGTTCGAGGCCAGCCTGGTCTATAGAGCGAGTCCAGCACAGCCAAGGCTGTACAGAGAAACCCTGTCTCAAACAGAAAACAACACAAGAACGCCTGTCAACAGGTGCCCCTTCGTTCCCTGGTCTCCCCACCGCCCAGCAGCTCCCCTGCAGCTTTTCTCCTGGAGGACTCGCCTTCCCGGGTGAGCCCTTTGAACTATACAGCATGCGCCCTGTGTGTCCAGCTTATTTCACTCAGCAGTGTTTTTAACACTGAGGCACAGGTCGGGATTTTCTTTATACGGAAATGTGTCCGGCTGGAGCGAGCAACCGCCCTGCGGGCCTTTAGGCAGTGTAAATTGCACTGCTTGGAACAGTTGTTACCAGCCTTTGTCTGAACACCTGTTCCCAGTTCTTTGGGGTCTACACCTGGGAGCGGGGTGGCTGGGTGGGGTGCTGACGTCATGCTTGACTTCGGAGGAGGCGCCCCATGCTTTTCTGCAGCAGCTGCACCATCCGCAGTACGCAGAGCTCCGGTTCCTTCCTGTCCTCACCGGAACTTGTTATCTTGCACATTTCTGCCCTAATCCGCTAAAGTCGTCCTGAAGCAGGGTCTGACCTGATGCTGGGGAGCCCTCCACGGGCAGTGAGGGATGCTGGGGAGCCCTCCACAGGCTGTGAGGGTTCCAGTGGCCCTAGCTTTGGAATAGCTGGATTAAAAGCAGAAGCCCAGTACTAGTAGGTCTTCCTTAAAGCATCTGAACTCTGAAGAGACTGCCCCACACTTAGGGTACTGAACACTCGAGCCGAGGACACACACAGCCTGTTCAAGCTAGAGTGACAGAGGTGTATACAGGGGCCATGGTGGACACTTCAGGAAGAGAGGAAAGGAAGACTGTGAGTGAGGGCAGAGATGTTAAGGGAGCCCTTTTGGTTCTGCTACCACTGTTAAATAAACCAAACACAAACTCGTTATGGTTTGATGCTCAGGCTAAATCACGCTACAGCAAAGGCCAGAGAGTAGAATATGCATGTCCTTGGCTCCTTCTGGAATCTCTCTGGCAATCATAACCACCACCCTGCTGAGCGCTTTCATGCTTGGGCTCCTGTAATCCCACAACAAGCCTCCAACGGAGGTACGGTCACTGCTTCACTTTAAAGACTAGGAAACGGAGGCACAAAGAGAGGTCACCAGCCTTGCCTAAAATCTCCCCACCAGGAAATGGCTAGGGGCCAGGACAGTGCAGCCTAGTCCTGTGCAGCCACCCAGCTGGACGCCAGCATTCCTCAGACTTGGAATAACAGCTCCCGGGGCAGAAGTCCTCTGGTGTAGGTTCTCCCTCAATGCCTGTGTTCCAGTAGCTGTGGCTACCAAGGTAAAGGCTTGCGGAGGACACCTCAGCGTGATGGAGCTGCCACCCCTGGCAGGCCCCAAGCACAGACCTTAAGCGGACCCAACAACAGAGAGAGAGCAAACGTGCATTTCTCCTTTCCTTATTCTGTCATTATTGGCACGTGTGTGGCTGTTTGGCCTGCACATGTACATCTGTGCACCTAGTGCCTGGGGAGGCCAGAGGAGGGCTTTGCATTCCCTGGAATGGAGTTAGAGCCGGTTGTTTGCCATCACCTAGGTTCTGGAAGTTGAACCCGGGCTCTCTGCCAGAGCAGCAGGTGCTCTTATGGCTGAGCCGTCTCTCCACTCCAAACATGAGTTTCTGAGTGAGCAGAGCCTGGTGTGTCTCTCAGGTCCCTGAACTCAGTTCCCACGTGGAAACAGAGCTCACGTCTGCAACGGATGCTTGTGAGGGGCTCGGGTGTGCTTTTCTCTTCCTTAAGTGGCCGGAGCACGTCTGGCCTCAGGCAGCCTCGGGCTGGCTTCTGCGGTTCACCGCTTGCTTTGGCCTCCGGCAGTGCAGTACACTGGGCAAGCTGGCCCGCTGAGTGTGAAGGTCCACTGGGAACTCGCTTCCTGGGACTCACCCTGGAGAAGAGCAGCCCTGCGGGCGTCCTCCTGACTCCCCCCTAGGACTCCTGCCTCGGAGGCGCGGCAGGCACCCACTAGGTGAAGCAGGCTCCTCCTAAATTAGAATGTGGGCTGCAGAAGCCGTGCCCAGAGTCTGGACCCTCGTCCCGAGGCAGGTGTGTTTCCTGTCTCCAGAGCACTACCAGACTGCAGGCAGAGGGGACAGAAAACACCAGGGGCGGCTTGTGTGCGCCCAGGGTGGGTGTTTCGCCTTGTGCGGCTAGCTTGACCCCCGCTACCGCCATCCCCAGTCCTGCTCCCCGACCGTGATTACTTCCGCATTTATTTAACTTTGGAGGTTCACTGTGTAGCCGGGGCCGGCCTAGCACTCGCAGCGATCCCCCTGTCTGCGCCTCGTGCGCATGCCACAGCTGGCTCCCAGTTTTGACTTCTGACAGGAATCTCATTCTCGCTGGTCACCTGAGCCTTGGGATGTGTAGAGGAGGTTATGTGAGGTGAGATGACTTGGCAGACGCAAGGAGGTCTCTGAGGCGACCACTTCTCCGACCCTCAGCCCCCTTCTCCTCCAGAGGCGGCGGCGCAGGGAGAGGCCCTGGGGGTCCTCATGGGGCGCAGCTTAGGGGCTTCGCACCGCGGCCCGCCGACCCCGTTAGGAGCCGGCCCGCCTCGGACCCCGATGCCTCCCAACGTCGCGGCCCTGGCGCCGGCGAGGGACGCTGTCGGGCGGGCTGAGTCACGCGGGCCTCCCTCCCGCAGGTCGACCCCCAGAGCCGGGCCGTGGGCCCCACCTGTCCGCTCCTCGCAGAGGCCCCCTGCGCCGCTGCCACCGGCCCCTCGGCGCGGAGCCGGGCGCCCGCCGCCGCTTTGATCCCGGGGGCCCCGCTGGATAAAAGTCTCGGGCGGCTCTCCGCCAGCGCCAGAGAGGAGCGCGGCGCGGCCGGGCGCACCCGCGGGACAGCGCGGCTCGGGCGCCTGCGGGGACCTACGGTGAGCGCGGGCCCCGGCGGAGCCGGGCGCCCCCGGTGCACCGGGCTGGGCGCGGGAGGGC